AAGGGCAACCGCAAAATATCATCAGCTAATTTTTAGCACTTGTTGTGCCCAATTTCTCCGCTCTTACAATTCGGCAGCTTCCTCCCACCCCCAACAATAAAAAACCGCAATGGTCATAAAGGGCGGATGAAATGTACACACTATGAATACATTTTTGAATGAATACGATGGGCTGTACTATGAATAAACATTGGCCTGGGCACTGCCGCGTCTGCGGCTGCAAAAGTTGGCGCATCGATTGTCTGAGCGGACTTATATAACCTCATTTGGGAGGTTATGTATGTATCTGAAGCTCGCGTGCTCCCGTCCTCGGCGTCGGCGTCGGCGTCGGCGTGATATCGTGTACGCAGATAAAAATTTGAAAAAGAAAAAACGATACATAAACAAGTGCACTACACTAGCTTTGAGATTGAAGCGTGTGCTACTCATTGAAAAATGGGCACCCATTGAAAATGGCTAAGGAAGGGTATTATGGAAAAGTTAGTAACAGGCAGATTAAGGCATCTCTCATTCCATCAAGTGTATATTCCTAATCAGCATCAACAGTCGAGTCTATTGGCTAAAAGACTAAAGACTAAAAGAGCCGGAGACTTCAAATTTGGTACGCTGTAGAAGTTTGTTAAAATTATTCGATGACTGACTTCACGAACTCGATGAAAATCAATTTTCAAATGTAACTAGGTTTTTTTAGCGTGTCTCAGAACTTATAAGAGCCAGAGAGAAGAAATTTCATTTATCGTATCTCATGTATTTATTTCTTTAAGCCATGATAGTTTAAAAAAAACATACCTTAAAAACTGAATTTAATAAAGAACTTACTATCTGAAGTATCAGTAGCCCCAGATAAATTTCTAATTTATAGGTCAGATAAGAGTAAGATAAAAATTAACACGTCTGCAGCGTAAACTGCGTAGCTTGATGCGCCTCTCTCTATATGTGTCTGAGTGTTTAGGGAATCTGCCAGTCGAACACTCCCGACTGCTTTTTTTTTTCTTAGGTTCGAGTTTGCGGTGCAGATGAGTCGCAAGTTGTCGATGACCGCTTGAATGGCACTTAGTTTATTTTGTCTAAATAAAGTTGTTAAATTTTTATGATACTCGCTCGTTCACAATATAATTTTGGGTTTTCTTTTCTACCTAGAGGAAGTGGCTTTTTATGGGGTCAGAGGAAATGATTAATGGGGCCTATTAAAATGCTTATGCACACTATAACGAGTTTAAGGCTGGATATTGTTTAAATATTTAGCAGCCAAGTGTTATAAAGTGTGTCACAGATCGTATAATATCCAAAACTATTTTTTAAGTGAAGAACAATCGCAGCTTTGATCTATAAGATAGGTATCTGTGTACACAGCTCATAAATAAAATGAGAGACTCTCTTGTCCACAATTATATTGTGTGGCAACAACAATTGTGGCGACTACTGCAAACCCAAACGGGAGGGCGTCCCATTGCAGCCGAAATCCGAAGCAAAGCAAAAGCCAAAGTTGAGGCGATGAAATCCCAGACAGCGCTGCCAACCGACTGTTTGCAGCAATTTTGGATCAATTATATGAAGTTAACTAGCGACTTCTGCAGACAACGTCATAGCCTCAACGCTTCCATTGTTTGGCTGGCGATTGTCCAATGCAGCTCACGATTTATTCAATTTTTCTTCTTGTTGTTTTTTTTCTCCTCTCGTTACTATTTATCATGAACAAATTCATTGCAGTACTCTACAATCAGACTCTTAAGCTTTGGACTCTTCAAAATTTGGCCATCTGCTCTCTAAAAAATGTAAAACCTTAAATTTTGTTCGTTAAAACTAAAAGAGATATATGTGGGTTATTCATCCCGTTTTGCGAGCTCCTCTAAGAATTTGGTACTCTGCGCCTTAATCTGTTTGCGATTCGGCACATTTGCCATTGTCTTGTGATCCGTAAGTAGATCCTCTCCGGGCGACACGATCTGCTGCTCATCCTCATCGATTTGCTCGTACAATTCGAGGCTGGCAAGGAAATCGGCATGATACTCTTCCCTGTTGCGAGCTAAAATTGCCGGTTTCATTTCCATCAAGTAGCCCTTCATCAATTTGTACACCTTACGCTTCAATACGTGCATCACAATATCAACTGTGTGATTAAAATAGTATTATATATATTATCTTGTTATATAATATTATATTATTTGCACTCAACTGTTTTCCTCGTAAATCTCTGGTGCTGCGGCGCGCATATTGAGCATTTCGAATTTCAGAAGTGGCAACTTCAAATACGAATTCGGATAGTGAGAGCGCAACAATTTTGGCTGGCGATCTACGTGCCGCAGTATTTCAATAAGATTCCAAATACTTACGCTGTAATAGCAAATATATTTAAGATTATTTATTAACGAAAAATCGAATGCTGGGAATTCTTGCGTAAATAAAATATACCCTAATCTTAACGCCATATCTATGGAAAGTATTGGAAAATTAAAAATATCCCTTAATCTTAAGGAGGTTTGGGCTAGTCTGGGCTAGTTTGGGATTAAAAATACCTCTTATGCTCAACGGCTAATGACATAGTCTGGCAACGTTATGATACATTTTGCACACTTAATAAAAATCGCTGCCAATAGCTTAGTCTGGCAACATCGTGCATAATTTAAATAAATCCCTTATTAGCATGGTTATGGAAAGTCTTGGTCAGTGTAGTTGTTTAAATATATTTTAGCAATTCATTATCCCCTCATTAGACATATTGGATAAATGATAAAAACTCCGTATTTCGCTTAGCCATGGAAATTGTGGACATTGTAGTTAGAGTTCAAATGATTAAGCATATTAGCAGCTTAATTTTCTGTTGGGTATTTGTGATCAATTAAGCTGTTTTAGTCTCACGAATTCGGGCATCTCAGTTCTAATTTAGCAATTAAATATAGATTGTGTATTGTGTTTAATTACCGCAACATGACATAGGCGTCGCCGCGATTTTTCAGATAGGTTAAAGTCGACTTCTCGTACTCCGTTTCGGTTGCAAACATTTTGCGCAAATCCTTAATGCGCTCTAGCCGACTGTTGAGCATGATTTTAGCAAATAAGTAACAAATTCGATTTTAAAGGGGTATCTCACTTGATCTCCTCCTCGGATAGATTGTTCACCAGCACACCCTTCAACACATTGGCGCATTTCATTTTCGTCTCGAGCATCTCGTGAGCCAACATATCGCAGTCGATGATGCGATGGAGCTTCTCATTGTTGTCCACCTGGCTCTTCATGCTGCAATCGGAATATTCAACTTGGGCTCTTGGCTGTTTATCGTTTCAGAACGCTTACCGTGGATAAATCTCTCTCGCCTGCGAGCAAAGCGTCACAAACTTCACCTCCTTAATGGTATTCTCGACGGACTTGAGCATTAGCTTGAGCACCAGCATGCTGCGCGTCTCGCGCAAATAGCGCTTGGGATCTGCGCTGGGTGGGATCTCCTCTTTGGGCTTTGCACGCGTTGCCAGCAAAGAACCGAGTGGCTTTACGATTTTAAATGAGGACAGCATCTGCAGCTTGGCCTGCAGATTTTTCCGCGACTTATCCTCCAGCTGTCGATACTCGTAGTTAAGCTCCTTAAACTTGGCTATGGCCGGCATGCCCAAATAGAGTACGTGCTTTATGAAATTCGCCTGATCCTCCATGTCACCATCGAGAGAGCGCAGAATTGGCTCGTAAAAAATTGCATCGTGACGTAGCACCTGTATCATTTTCATATATGTCGAGTTGATGGCCTTGATGGCCTTCAAGCGCACATTCGAATTCTCAATTCTTTTGATGAAACCCCGCGATTTGATTTCCTCTTCCAACACAAACTCGTTTTGATACTTTATGCGATTTTCCAGCATGGCGCGTTTCATCTGCAGTTAAGAAATGAAGCACTATAGCTCATACACTAATCGACGACCTACCAGCATTTCTCTGTACCGACTCTTTAGTTGACCCAATCGACACTCGAGACGATCCCGCTCCTTGCGCAGCACAAATGTACGCTGATTGATATTGTCCACGACCAGATGTATGGGCATTCTCTGGTACAGACGCTGCATGTCCCTGTGATTGATCAGCAGGTTGCGAATGTTGTGGGTATTATCTCCGGAAAGTACTTTCTGAAGCTTAAATCGTCCATCGCGACACTGTGATTTCAACCGCTTACTTTCCACCAAGTAGCGCTGGCGATTGGCCTTTGTCTCGTGTCGCTTGAAGACCGCACGACGGGCTATCAATTTGTAGTATTTGACCTTAAGGTATATATGTACTATGTACGTCGAAGGCTTACCTAACAATTCGGACATGCCACCGAATTCCTCGGTCAAGGAGTTGGGGCTCCAACGATCGTCAACCATCACATGCTGGCGCACATAGGACATACCGAAGAGTCCATGGAATCTCAAGGCGCGAGGATGCACTGGCTTGGGCGCCAATACATCTCGATCGGGCGCCTTATCACGCCGAGGGCGGTGTGATAGACTCTTCTCACGCGTAAAGCAGGGCATTTATTTATCCGTTTTTTTAAATATATTTTTATCTCAAAAAAATTAAAAGAACTGTACTAAACCGAAGAAAGAACTAACACTCTGAGTAAATAACAAACTAAATTAGTAAGTAAATATAATAGAAAGTAAATTCATTGGTTACCTAAATTGGAAACTCCGAAAACTTATTTCGGGCTCGCATTCCAGTGTATGCCTTAGACAGAGAACACTGTTGCGAGGGTAATTTCATTTTCCTTACTTATAGTAGTGCATTTAAATAATAATTAAAACTATAATCAAAATAATATTTCCCATTAAATTTAATACAGTTTTACATCCTTCTAATATTCCCCGAGTTGGGATCTTACAAAACAAAATGGCCGTCTTATTAACTGTTGATTACCCTTCGATTGCAAATCAAAAAACCTGCTCAATCGATATCGATAAATTTCACTTAGGGAAACTTTGCGATCGGCTATCGATTTCGATCCCCATTTTTGTGAATTCGAATATTTATACGATTTGCTGTATATTAATATTTATTGTAAATACAAATGCATAGATATTTTTGTACATTATAGTTGTTCTTCACGTCTGATAGCTTGCTCGACAGTTCTGTTGCTCAGGCTCTTGATCTGCTTGCGATTCGGTACATTGGCCATGATCTTCTGGTCCTGTATTATATCATCAGCAATTGCTGCCTGATCCTCGTCATCATCCATGAATGCGTTAGTATTGACGGTGGCCAAATAAGTGGAATGATACTTTTCTTTACACTTATGCTTCGACGGTTCCATGTCCGCGTTGAAGAGATTCATCACCTTATATAGTTTACGCTTAAGCACGTTCATAACCTTCTCAACTGTGTGCAAAAAAAAATAGGGTACAACTTAAAAACAGTTCGCTTTTAGCGGATTTCTCAACTTAACGATCTTCCATGTAAAGCTCTGGCGGCGCAGCGTACATGGTTAACAAATCGAATTTGAGAAGAGGCAGTTTCAAATACGAGTTCGGATATTTCCTCTGGAAAGTTTGGGGGTTGCGATCGACATGTCGCAATATTTCAATAAGATTCCAAAGACTTAAGCTGTATGGCCAAATAAAATGGAATGCAATAGTCAATTGCAAGAGAAAACGATAGACTTACCGGAGCATAATAAAGGCATCGCCGCGATTCTTTAAATACTCCATTATCTTTAACTCAATATTCTCCTCCTCTTTCATAGCTTTTCTCATGTCGTTAATGTACTCCAGGCGGCTGTTTGACATTATAGTTGAAATAATTATTGCATAAATATGATTATGTGCATACTTAATTTCCTCCTCGGATAGATTGTTGACCAAAACGTCCTGTAGCACAGAGGCCAATTTCATTCGGTCCTCCAGCGCATATCGAGTCATCCCCTCGCGCTCTGCGATCCGACGTATATTCTCATTGTTCTCCACCTGGCTCTTCATGCTACAAACAGATGGTAAGACTTTAGCCGTTCTTGATTGTGCTAGACTTACCGCGGATAAATCTCCCTGGCCTGGGAGCAGAGTGTATTAAGCTTTACCTCCTTGATGACCTTCTCGACGACATTCAGCACTTTCTTGAGCAACAGCATGCTGTGCGTCTCACGCAAATAACGCTTGGGATCTGCTGTTGCAGAGAGCTCTTGTTCGGGCTGAAAACGCGTTGGTTTCCTAGCAACAGCTGGCTTTTGGGCTAATGAGACCAGTAATTGTTGCTTTTGCAAAAGAGTTTTAAGTGACTTTGCCTCCAACTGTCGATACTGCACGTTGAGCTCCCCGAACTTGGCTATCGCTGGCATGCCAAGGTAGAGTATGTGCTTTATAAAATTCGCCTGATCCTGCAAGTCGTCGTCGAGAGAGCGCAAAATTGGCTCATAAAATATTTCATCCTGCAAGAGCACCTGCACCATTTTCTGATACGTAGAGTTAATGACCTTGATGGCCTTCAGGCGAACATTCGAGTTTTCAATCCTCTTGATGAGCCCTTGCGACTTCACCTCCTCTTCTAAGACAAACTCATTCTGAAACTTGATGCGGTTTTCTAGAAGTGCACGATCAATCTGTAAATAAATTTATAAATATTGAATATCTTATTTCTGCATTTATTCATCATTTCTTATTAAGACCTACCAGCATTTCTCTGTACCGACTCTTTAGCTGACCCAATCGACACTCGAGACGATCCCGCTCCTTGCGCAGCACAAATGTACGCTGATTGATATTGTCCGCAATCAGGTGAATGGGCATTTTCTGGTACAGACGCTGCATATCCCTGTGTTTGATCAACAGGTTGCGAATGTTGTGGGTATTATCTCCGGTTACGATGTTGATCAGCTTTGTGCGACCCAGGCGGCATTGCAACTTAAGTCGCTTATTATCCTTAAATAAGAGCTGGCGATTGGCCATTGTCTCGTGCCGCTTGAAGATCGCAAAACGGTCTGTCGATTAAGTGGTAATTAGTCCCAGAGGATGTGCATATATCGATCACTTACCCAACAGTGCGGACATGCCACTAAACTGTTCGGACAAGGAGTTGGGCGTCCAACGCTCGTCGACCACCAAATGCTGGCGCACAAAGCCCTCGCCAAGGAATCCATGGTAGCTGAGGGCGCGTGGATGCACTGGCCGCGGTGCCATGGCATCTCTGTCATTTTGCTTATCCCGCCGCGAGACGTACGATATGCTATTCCTTCGCATAAAGCAGGGCATTGTGTTTTATTTGTTTTATTTTTTTTTTTATTTTTTTTGTTTTTTAATTTTTTTAAGGTTTTGTTTTTTTATTTTTGTGAAACTGTTGTATTGAAGTGTACCTAACAATTAATGTGACAAATATGGAGCATGAGGTATGTAAAAATGAGTAGAAACTAAAGTCATGGGCTGCTATGAAAAATTTTAATGTATTTCACAAGTTTTTTCTCATTTTTTATTTTCACAAATTGAAAGCCAAGAACGAGGCAGCTGCAAAATCAAAGCACATCCAGGGTTCAATCTAATCTGCACATCGGAGCACATAAAAATTGTCTTGTTTTAATAAACCCATTGCGAGCTTAAATCAAATGCGCCTAATTGGACAGGTAAAGTTTATTTATGTTATTAAAATTAATCTGCACATTACTTTCCATCACGCCTGGACGCCTCCTCCAGAAGTCTGGCACTCTGTGCCTTGATCTGTTTGCGTTTCGGTACATTGGCCTGGGTCTTCTGCTCCTGCAGCAGATCCTCCCCAACTGTTTCACCCCGTTGCTGATTCTCATCGAAGTAATCGTATTTATCAATTGTGGCCAAATAGTCGGCATGATATTTTTGTTTACTGCTCTTTAACGATGACATCATATCCGCATTGTAGCCTTTCGTCAGTTTGTATACCTTACGCTTGAGTAGATGCATAAGCTTCTCAGCTACATAAAAACAGACAAAATAAATAAAAATAAATTCTTTAGTATCGATTAGCTTAATATACCGTTTTCGTCGTATAGCTCTGGAGCAGAGGCAAACATGGTAATCATATCAAATTTGAGGAGTGGCAATTTTAAGTACGAATTCGGATATTTAGTGCGAAAGGCTTTAGGATTGCGATCTACATGCCATAATATATCAATAAGATTCCAAAGGCTTACCCTGTCCCACCAAATGAAACAAAGAATTTGGTCAAAAATTATAAAGTAAAAGTAAACAAATAAAGCTTACCTGAACATGGGCTCGATTTGTCATATATTCCAAAGTCTCCTGCTCGAATTCCTCATCCGCTTTTAACGCAACTTTCAGCTCTGCAATACGCTCAAGTCGACTGTCAGGCAATATAATTATAGTTAATTTAAAAAAATTATGAATTAAAGGAGCTGCTCACTTGATCTCCTCCTCGGATAGATTGTTGATTAAAGCCTCTTGCAGCACTGCAGCTTAACATTGTTTTCCACTTGGCCCTTAACGCTGTAGACTTGAAACTTAGCAAATATTTGTTGAATGTCAACAAAGAGATGTTGGCTTGCATGGCCCCATGCCGAGAAGTCCATGGAATTTCACTGACCGTGGACGAACTGGTTTAATCACGACGTCTTTTCCATTACCCCGCTTTGCCCGCCGCGGGCCCAATGATAGACTCCTCTCTCGTATGGCATTTTAGATAAATGTTGTTAATATATATATTTTTTTAATATATATGTTTTTAAGAAGCGTTTGTATTGTTATGTGCGTCACAATTGGAATGAGTTGTATGCTTTGAATGTTAGCTTTGAGTTTTGAATAAGTTCATCAATATGAAAGTATTTCCACAGCCAACATTTTGAACGGAAAGGAACATGACTAAAAAAAAAGTTTATAAAATATGTTTTGATATGAAATATGTTTATTGGCCGATTCCTGCTTTCAAAAAGTCTCGATATATTAAAAAGAAGAACATTCCTTTCATAAAAAATTCGAAATTTTCGAAAGCTTTGAGCATTAAATACAAGTATAATGAAATATTTTTGTAATGTGTTTATTTTAGTATATATGTGTAATGTCAGATGTTATATGTATATAAATCAGGGTTGTTGATCCCGCTTGGAAGCTTCCTCCAAAATTTTGGCACTCTGTGCCTTGATCCTTTTGCGATTCGGAATGTTGGCCATGGTCCTGTCGTTAATTAAATCATCTCCTAACGCCACTATATCTTGCTCCTCGCCTTGGTTGGTTTCGCGGTGCTCAAAAGTAGCCAGGAAAGCGAGATGATAACTATTTTTACTCTGCTTTAAACTTGCACTCATCTGCGGACTGTAGCCCTTCATCAGCTTGTATACCGAACGCTTGAGAAAAGTCATAATTACATCGACTGTGTATAGCAGAAAAAACAAAATTATATTAGATTCATTCAAGAGGATAGCTCAACTCAACTATTTTCCAGATACAGCTCGGGGGGCACAGCATACATGTGGAACAGCTCGAATTTGAGAAGCGGCAGCTTCAAATACGAATTTGGATAATCTTTGCGAAGTTCTTTGGGACTGCGATTTACATGGCGGAGGACTTCTATCAAATTCCAAATGAATAGGCTGTGAAAACAAATGGAAATTAAAAACTTGATTGAAATACGGTGGGTTTCTTAACAGCTCACCGCAACATCACATAGAGATCGGCGCAGTTCCTAATATGCGAGACAGTTTCCTCCTCAAATTCGTTTTCAAGTATCAGAATTTCTTTTAATTCTTTGATGCGCGCCAGACGACTGTCGATCAGATAAAAAAGAAGTAAGAGGTTCTAGTCGGGAGCTCCCGACTAAGGGGATACCCTGAACCCTCTTATTCCAACACTAAATGCACCTCGCGCTACGCGCTCGTTTGCTTTAGTAGTAATAAAGATAAATTAATAAAAATAAAAAGTTCCTTTGGCAGGTTCTACTCAACAGCCACACCAGCTAAAAAAAAATAGTTTCCTCGGTAGGGTTCGAACCCGCTACAAACAGCACTACATGCCACGCCAGCAATCGAGTCTCAGTGAGAAAAAAAACCAATTTAAATAGTAGCACAGAAAACAATACAATCGCAATTGCAATGCTGTTTATAGAATTTAAAGCAGACGCACATGAATATGTGTGTGTACATGTATACAGAAATTCTTGGAATTTGCTCTAGCTGCTGCTAACACGTGCGCACATAACTTTTGTGTTTCTTAGCAGTACATCTTATTGTGTCATGGAATATTTGTGTATTCTCAAAAAGTTAATTGCATATGATTTGTGGCTTAAGTTGGTAGGCAATACAAGTTGGATTATTAACTTGATTTATAGCTTTGTGGTGGTAGCAGGGAGGTGGCGATGGCTATAAAATGAAAGATACTTGATATATATGTATATATACTATTCTAGAAGCTACGTGTTAAGTTTGGTGACTCTAGCTCATATTATTTACCAAAATTGCCCAAAAACAGGATTTCGATATCGATTTTTATCGATTAGTTGGAAACGGGGCAAGTTATCGAAAATCGGAAACAAACTCGATCTGCGCAGGCACTAGGAGGACCTTCAGCTAAAACTTGAGTTTCTAGCTCTTATAGGTTCTGAGATCCTTGCGTTCATACATACGGACGGACAGACAGACGGATGGACGGACAGACGGACAGACAGACATACGGACATGGCTAGATCGACTCGGCTTCGTCTGCTTGTTACATAAATTTTCACAAATACATTATACCCTTTTACCCATTTTTAATGGGTTCAGGGTATAAAAATATAAAAAGCAGGAATAAATAAATGAAAAAGCTTCTTACTTGATTTCCTCCTCCGATAGATTATTTAATAATAGATCCGAGAGCAAAGTAGCGCATTTCTTTTTGGTGCGCAGCATTTGATTACTCTGCCAATCATGTTCATGCTTACGACGCATGTTTACATTGTCCTCAAATCTACCCTTCATGCTGTGGCAAAGATTTAGATACAGTTTTTTAACCGACTTCAGACTTCACACTTCAGACTTCACACTTCAGACTTCAGACTTCAGACTTACCGCGGATAAATCTCCTTTGCTTGCGAGCATAAGGTCGTTAATTTTAAGTTCTTAATCGTTTTTTCAATGGACCGCAGCTGCACTTTGAGAATTTGCATGCTCTTGGTCTCACGCACATAGCGCTTGGGGTCTGCTGATAACTCTTTGACCTTGACGACGACCGGATGGCCGCTAACAACGGGCTTTTTCAGGGAGTCCAATATTTGCAGCTTGGCTTGAAGATTTTTTCGCGACTTCGACTCCAAATTCAAAAACTTGTTATTGAGTTCCTTAAATTTGGCTATCGCTGGCATGCCAAGGTAGAGTATATGCTTTATAAAATTCACCTGATCCTGCATGTCGTCGTCGAGAGAGCGCAAGATTGGCTCATAAAATATTTCGTCGTGTAATAGGACCTGGATCATTTTCTTGTATGTGGTGTTAACGGTGCGAATGGCTTTCAAACGCACGTAAGAGTTTTCTATTTTCTTTTGTAATACACGCGATTGCTGCTCCTCCTCCAGCACAAACTCATTCTCATACTTGATCCGATTTTCCACCTTCGATCGATTTACCTGTAAAAGTGTGGAGTCTTAATATGTGTTTGATCACTGAGCTAACATTTGACCGACTAATAAGTTTTTATATTGCAGTTTTAGCACCGACAAACGAGCCTCCAGACGATCCCGCTCCTTGCGCAGGACAAAGGTGCGCTGATTAACATTGTCCGCAATCAGGTGAATGGGCATATTTTGGTAGAGACGTTGCATATCCCTATGCTTGATCAACATGTTACGTATCTTATGGGCGTTATTCCCGGACGAGATTTTCTTCAACTTAAGGCGTCCATCGGTGCACTGCGTTTTCAAATGCTTTCTCTCCACCAAAAGACGCGAATGATTCGTCTTGGTCTCATGTCGTTTGTATATTACGCGCCGTTCTAAGGAAGCATTTTATGATCAGGATAACAGGATTTGTGCGCAAATAGCATGAAGCACGTACCTAGAAGTTCGGCCATGTTTGCAAATTGCTCATTCACCGAACCCGGAGTCCAGTTATCGTCAACAATGAGATGCTGGGCCGCAATGGACATGCCGAAGAGTCCATGGTATTTAATGGCCCGCGGACGAACTGGCTTCGGAGCCATCGGATCCGTATCGTTCGTGGTATCCCGCCGGGAGTGGAAATCAGGGCTCTTCTCTTGCTTAAAACACGGCATTGTGAATATATTTAGTTGTATTTTATAATATGTTGGAGTGTTATGTTTTATGTATATCTTGTGTGAGTCGTATATTTGTAATGAATATTTCCAGTTTTACTATGTTCCAAAAGTTGATAAATATTCCTGGATTGCTAGATTAATCCAAAAACTTCGTCACCTAACCTTAATATATTTGAACAGAGTTGCCACCCAGTTTAAATACATGACGATCTGCTATTTGATGCACTTATCTAATTTAAGAAATGAATAAATGTATGAAAAGACGAAAGACATTTTTTTACACATTTATTTTGCACTAACATTTCTTTTTGTGGTTTTTTCGTTTACTTTTATATTGTTTTTTTGCAACAGAAGTTTTTATACAGTTCGTAAAATGTTTCAATAGAAGTTTCGGTTTTCGCTCTGTTGAGTATGTAATATTACTTATATTAGACTGCATAAAAATGATTCTGATTTTCGTGAAAATATTTGGTGTACATTCTTTCTTTTGCTTTCGCTGGGTAATAATTAACTAATAGAAACGCATTAACAATTCGATTACAAATAAATCTCTGACGTTCCGTTTTAATTGTGTGTAATGAATGTGTACGATAAACTTGTAAAGAAGCTACTGGCCGGGGTATGACTCTCAGTCTTACCAGGTCCAGCGAGTTACAAGACATTAAGGAAGAGGGGAATAGATATTTTGACCAAACCAAACCTAGCTCTATTTTTACACCAACTACACTATCGGGCCGTATCCTAGCGCCAACTACACTAGCGGGCCGTGGCCTCGCACCAACTACACTGCCGGGCCGGGGCCTCGTACCAATTCCACTACCCAAACTCTAGCGGGCCGTGGCCTCGCACCGACTACACTATCCAAACGCTAGCCAGTAACACCCACTCCTGGGCTACAGTCCCGTACCACATGCTCCTACTCTAGGTTAGGTCGAACATCGGCTGATTCCGATGTTAGAACAAACAGGGTACTGGAGAATAAAGAACTAACAAGTTTCTTTCGATAAACACAGCACACGCACTTGTATTCATTTATTATTTAGCACTATCTTGTCGTATCTCCTAAACTAAGACCCTGCCGCACTGTTCTGGAGCCCTACCGCTCCGCTATACACTCTATGATTTTTCCTCGTTGCGACGCACGTCTACTCACCCTCATTGAGTAATAAAGAGACAGAGGAGGCTTTTGGATCAAAAGCTCTTTTTCCAAACAGTTCACGAGCGATAGCAAGGTTGCAACCAAATTTAGTATAACTCAATGACAAATTGCAAGCACAACACTCGGCTGTCTATAGCTACTTCTGCCGTTGCCCAAAAATAAAAGACAACTTCAGAATATTTCCCATATGAACCAACAACAACCATAATTAAAACAAACGACTCGACAATAAAAAAAGCACACCCCAAATTCTGTCCCTGCTATCCCTTTTTGGTTTGAAGCTACAGCCT